TTAAAGATACTCCTAAAATATTTGATGGTAGACTATGATTAAGACATTACACTACAAAAAAACCTTATGCAGAAGGAAACCCTTACTGACGTGCTTCTGCTTTAAATATTGTGAAAACATTACAGCGGAATGAATTTTCGCAGTGGTTAGGTCAAATGCAGTTACATCATAGCAACAGTATGTTTTGCACAATTTAAGGCTTTGGCTGGTTCTTTTAGTCAGCTTCTTCCTCTGATTCTTCTTCTTCAGCAGTTTCTAGCCAGGTTAGCCACTGATTCACCTGTAAAATAGGTTTGTAATTTATTAACAGGAAGCTGTTTTGTTTTAGGAAACCAGAAATACATCTGAACCCACCATCCTGCCCAAAATAATCTAGACTGTATTCTTTTCCACACACCTACTAAATCAGAACTTTTGTGACTTGCCCATAAAGTCTGACCTATTCTTTCCCACACACCTACTAAATCAGAACCTTTGTGACTTGCCCATAAAGTCTGCCCTTCAACTACTCTCCAGGGCACTAACACTAATTTTGGAGTGCTCTGAAAATCTTTCTTCCGTTCCACTTGATAAAACAGAAGAATTAAAATCTTTTCAGCAGGGTCTAAAAAAGAAAGCCCAAATCTTAAATCCAAACTTTTGTGCAGCTGAAATTCCCCCAAATTGTTACTGTGCAAAGTAAACTAGTAGGACTCCCTTCTGCTCCTATTTCAGGTGAAAGAGTGCTATTCATTTGGAATACTACCAAACACAAAAAACTGGAAAAGAAAAAAACCCTAATTTTAAGAAGAACTTACCTGGAACAAAGCCTTGCCTTTCCCTGGAAACTCTTGGGTTATATCTTCTTTCCAAGCCAAGAAAGCTTCCTCTTCAATAATTTCCATATCATAGAAATGAACAAAAAAACGGAGTAACATGCCTAAAGAACAAAAGAAAATAATCACATTACTCAGAGTGTTCCAGACTGTCCCTCATTCACCCACTCCTCCCAGAGACTAGTCACCTTACCTTTTGGGAAGTTGCTGTTGTAACAGTGCACCTGCAGAGCATACAGGGCACTGACCTGTAGATCAACGTGATCGTGAAGGAATTTCTGCATCACTGGCTTGAAAGAAAGAAGCAGTTGTTTTTCCTGCTCTAACTGTTCTTTGGAAGGAGCAGAGGAAGAATCTGTTTCATCACTGGGTGGGCTTACTTCACTAGAAATATACTGTAAGAAGCTAGACAAAAAGTTGTTTTGTTAGCTAGAATCCCCAAAAGATCTCTGGCTCAAAAACAGCTCTTGCTCCCCGCATCCCCCCGCCCCCCATTTTTTTCTTTCTAAAGCGTAACTTTCTATAAGTAGACCATTCAACTTACCTAGTCATTAAGATGTTCACAAATCCTTTATCTACATGAAGTTTGGGAGAGATGTTATCTTTAATCCATTTATATATGGTTTGAGGGGATGGATCCAATTTTATTTGCTTTAAAAGTTCCTTCTCCAATTTGAGGAGTGGGAATAAGAAACTTAGTCCCTTTCCTTCCAAAATTTCCAACATACGGTCCTTATTCTGATCAATTTCTGAAGAAAAAAAACTTTGCATTACTTAAGTCCATTTTACCCAGTTGATCCACTTAGAAATGGTTCTCCAGTGTATACAATTCACACAAAAGGTTGAAGAACCCAACAAAATAATCTTTTGACATACAGGGCAATTTGAAAATTAAGTCATAATCTTTTTATGTAAAGGTATTAGTAGTGTCGATTCATGTTTATCACTATTTGGACAGGATGACCAAGCTGTCTGATTCATATAAATCCACTCAAGTCAAGGTATTAAGAGTCTCTAAATTTAGTGTTAACAAATTAATGTTCTCTTACCTGGGAGCATTTTCTGCATATTGACCTTGCTTTGTTGAAAAAGTTCTGTTAACCATTCTCGATCTTGTAACTTAGCTAACTGCTGAAGGCAAAGTAAGAAGAGAGGAAAATGTGTGCCACTCTCCAGTGGTTGAGCTAGTTCTGAAATGCTCACCAGCTCAGAAATGATGGCACGAGCTGCAAACTGGGCTAAGTATGATTTCACCAAAGGGATGTCAACCTCCAGTTTGGGGCACTGGTCCAATACGTTCAGGAAAGCCTTAGAAGGAATATATAACATTATCAGTTTATTAATTTTTCATATTTGAATGCATAATTTCCTTATTATAGAGTCAGCAAAGTGTACTACCTGCATGAAGTTGTCACTTGTAGCTATTCCTTCCTGTTTGAGTAAGCTAATCAAAGAACTTGCTTTTTCTTTATCTTCATCACTTCTATCTAGTGACAGGATGATCACTTTGCTTAACATCTCAGGAAGAAAGTGTTTAGGAGCTCTCATTTCTCGTACACTATTGACAGCTTCATTTGTATTTCCACTATTCAGATATTCAGTTACAACAGTTTCCTTTAAAAAAAAATCCAATTAGTGTCATAAGTACAACCCAAGAACTAGAGATATCTATGGGACTTTATGAAACTTACAGTTAGTTTAAGTAGTTCTTCTTTTGATGGTGGTGGCTTTTTGCTGGTCTTGGCAGGCTTTTCCTGGATAAGTGGTGGATTAGTTTTGAGACCAAGCTGAGGAGTCTAAAATACAAACAGATGTGATTTAAAAAATGAGTCTATGAGGTAGATGGAAGATTAACATTCACATTTTTGTGTGTGGGGGGGAAGGAGGTTGGTAGTATTGGGAACTGAATTCCAGGCCTTGTACTTGTTTCGAAAAGTCCTGACAACACAAACACTTAAAAAGAAGGTCCTCACACATCTTTAGGAAGTAACAGAGCAATGGAAAATGGGGATATGCTACGAGGGCCATACCTGTCCCAGAGGAGGTGTTTGAGTGCGTGGTGGTTGTGCACTAGGAGGAATCATAGTTATCTGGGGCTGAAGCTTTGGCACTTGATTTTTATTCATTAGGAACGATTGAGCAGGCCTCAAGCTAATCTGGAACGGAAAACAGATAATCCAAATTAATAGTACATAGCTGGCTAACAGTGTTAAAACTCTTAAAATCCTATAATTAACTGTGTATCTGGGGCTGAAATAGTACTTTTCTTTGAAAACGAAAAGGCTTCTCTATGTTCATGTTAGCTGGTTTCTTAAAAAAATCTAAAACCCTGATCACAAATTATAAATCTTACATTTGTACATTTCTCCCGTGTTTAGTATTAAAATATTCAAATAAAAAATGAGTTAAAAATGCCTTGCTTTAGTCTCAGTTACATTACTTACAGGAAAATCACAAACAGTATCTGGACAATCATCTTCCTCACACTAACTAATTTAAAAACTTTTAAAAGAGATTTGCCCTCATATCTCATAATCTTCGCTCATAGGACGCTGGACATACAAAGAAAGAAATAGTAGTATAGAAAAGAAAGAGAAAGAAGAAAAGAACTCCAGCATAAGTCCTCTTAAAGCGTCTTTTTTTATAATCATCGGGCAATAGATTTCTGAATTGACAAACTACCATATATAAATAACGTAGGCAAATGTACCTCATCTGCATTAAGCTGTCCTTTCTTAGAAAACCGAGGTGGCATATCCTTCGACTGTCCTTGCAGCTGGGATAAGAGTCCCTGACTCTGGTTATGGTAGAGCTGGCTTAGCCCCTATTTCAGAAAGGGAGAAAGAAAGTCTAGATAAAAAAGGGGGGTCCACAAATTATGGTAATGAAGTACCAAAGGGATGAGTCAAGTCATAAGGAAAGCTTAACTGAAACTGCCCAGAGAAGTAAAAGATGAAACAAAGAATAAAAATCTAACCTAACTGTCAATTAGTGGTGATTTTACTAGTACTTTACTAATCGTGAGGTAAGCATTTCATTCAATGTGAACTGTCAGATGTAAGTTTAGTGTAGGAAAATACACCTGAAATAGCTGCCATTTTTTAAAGACAAGACAAAAATAAGGCTGGATTTAACACATCCTCCTGAAGCAATATCAAATGTCTTACCTGGCTTTTCATAAACTTGCCTCCCATCTCTCCAAACTGCGATTGTGTGGGAGGCATGATGTGTCCCCCATGGCCATTAAAGAGTTGATTTGAACGATGACGTCCCATGGTGGGTGAAAATCTATCCTGGATAACTCCTGGACCAGTACCAATTCCGCTACCTTAAAATACATACAAGGTCAAGTCTTTGAACTGAACTCCACTCGCATTTTTTTTTTTTTTTTGCTGGTTGTGGGGCCTGGGTGCTATCCCTCAGCTCTTCAGCTCAAGGCTAGCACTCTATCACTTGAGCCACAGTGCCACTTCTGACTTTTTCTGCTCAGGTGGTGCACAGGAATTGAACCCAGGGCCTCTGCATGCAAGGCAAGCACTACACCACTGAGCCACCTTCCCAGCCCATCCACTCACATTTCTTTAAAAAGACTTGTTATCAAACCATTGTTTTATTCAATATTACCTGGCATTTGTCCAAACATATCAGCAAGTCCTCCAAGTGGGTCCCTATCCATTTTCATCCGGGGTGGCATAAACGGTCCCTCCAGAAAGAAGTCACTTCTCATCCCTTGAGCCATAGGAGCAGGAATAAACACTCCTAAATCCTTTGGAAATGAAGTGAGAATAAGTGCTTTTCCTCTCTAAACATTATGTCACTTAAGTAACAAATGACAACAAAAATCTTACCTTTACTGCATCTTGACGGATTTGATTGATCGTCTTTGGTCCATTGTCAAGAAAAGCCTTGCGAGGAACCCAATGGTGTTCTCGCAACTCTACTGTATCCTTTAGGTGAAAAAAATTTCACTTTAATATTACTAAACAGATAATATTACTAAACAGAAAGAACTTAAGCTAACCAAAGATACTTAAAAGTTTTACCTGCAGCAGGAAACGAATCCTCGCTGGCAATTCCTTACTTAACATCAAGGAGCACATTCTGGCAAAGTACTGATCCATTAAGGACTAGTTAAAGAAAAAGAAAAGTGTGAGAACTAAACTACATGTCTACACTAAAGGCCTAATACTTCTAGATAAATATGACAATCTTGTGTCACAAAAATAAACTAATCTGAACAGAACATACTAAGACATACTATATATTGCTTGTCATGCACACACATACCTTGGCTCGTTCGTGGTCTAATCTAGGCCCCACTGTCCTCATTATCTGACAGAGGCACTCCAAATCCTCTCCCATATCTTTGAGTTGGACTCTCTTCTTCTTTTCCAAAAGCTACCAAAGAATGAAATGCCACATATTGAAAACTTTACTTGCACCTTTGGTCCTTCTGTCTAGAAATCTCTCCTAATGAAGCAGTTTCAACATAAAGTTCTACCTCTACTTTGTAAAACTATTTCCATATTACTGATTTACGTTTCAGTAAATTTTGACTGTCATACAAGTTAGCTAGACATTGCCATTTGCCCTTTCAGATGGTACAAAGCAATTCTAAATGGCCTCAAGTTCCCCCAAATAATCTTCCATTGATGACTTCAATTTAAGGCCAGTAGATGTCTGTTATACTTACTGTTTTGATGCACTTATGAAGGATAGATTCATGAATAAGATCAAGCTTGCCAAGTTCTCCAATGAATTTGATGTTCCCCAACATCTTGATCTTAGCAATGGCTCTCTGTTCCTCCTCCTCTGGGAGGAGGGGGTTTTCACGCTTATCATAGACTGGAAGTGGAAAAATACACCAAAAAAACAAAACTTAAACACTTTGAATTATCAAACTGAAAATATATAGTAATTAGTTAGCATCAAATAGGAATTCTTACCATCAACATTTCTGGTTCGGTTTTCAAATTCATCTTGTAATTTGGAAATTAGGAGGCGTCTGAATGTCTGTATGGAAACAAAAGCTACTTGTAGGCCTTCCTAATGAACTCTCTTACAAACTATTTTAAAAATAACTATACTTACTGTGCTTTGCTTCTGTCCTGGTTGACCCTCTGCTGCTGGGCCATCAAAGTTTGGTGCATCTTCTGCCAATCGCAGACATAGCTGAGCATACAGTGAGCTATACTTTGGCTCTTCTAGGGCTTTGTCCACAATCTACACAAAAATGGTATTAAGAAAAAATTAAATTGTTAAGGGCTCATAAGATCCTTACTTTTTAACTGGATACTTGTTATAGTCTTTTTGGCTTAAATTCCACAAGTTATTGTTTTATTTCTAAATCAAAAAGGGCACTTTACTACTATGATGAGCTGAGTTAGACAGTACTGTAAACTAATGCTTAGCACACAACCTGCAAACTGTAACCATTTAAGCTCTTAGAACCATCCAGTTAACACCTTACTGAGTTACACCCCTCCTTGTCCCTAGAACTAGAATATATGGCACTAGAGAACTAGGGAGGTAGCTTAGTAGCACAGCACTTGCATAGCACATGTTAAGAGACAATGGGTTCTAGTTCCCTAGCACCACAAAATGTCTTACCAACTATCATTCAATTTTGTTATTAAAAAACCCTCATGTATGCTGTATGTTGGGATTCTATCAACTATAATACAATTTAGAGATAAACTTATCTTTAATGGTAAAAACCACTTAAAGCCAACCTTTAAAACTTACCAGCAGTATGACCCCTTTAAGGATGAGTTTAGACTCTACACCCACATTGAGGAGCTCAAGGCATAGCTTGTCAAACTTTTCAGGAGTAAGCTTATTTAGTATGCTGGGGGAGGAAAAAAAGAATCACATTTGAAGTGTGGGCCAACAAATTTTTTTTTCCTGAGTTGAAAACACTATTAAAAACATGATTTTCCTGCTTTTTCCTTTTAATAACAAACAAGATGTATACTTACCCAACCAAAAGGATGTTGAAATTAATTTCCCTATTTATGACTAGAATCTACATCAGATGGGGAGCCTCAGCTATGTGACAAGCAACTTTTTTCAAATCCCAGGTGTCAAGGGGCTATCAGGGCTGGACAATAAGCTAACACAATTGCATTTCCCATTTCACTGGATTATATATGCCAGCCCAAGAAGAAGTGCCAGTATGTCAAAGTGTATGGATTGTAAATAAATGTCTAAAAAGAAAATATAAGCTGTAGTCCCCCAGTACATTCTTTGGACACCAACCTTGCTTTGGTAAGTAGTATACACACTACAGAAACTAAGCTAATCCATACTTCTTTCCAAGAAAATGACCTTGAAACTTACCCTCTTACTTTCCTGAAGATTGCATCATGTCGTTCTTTTTCATTTGCGGAGTTGTTTGCTGCGGAGTTGTCATCTCGTCTAGTGCTTCGTGCAGGAATCCATTTCTGAGCGTTTTGCCCTGGGGTTTTCCCCAGGAACTCGCTAATTAAAAAAAAAAGAAAAGTGCTTTTAATTTTTTTAAAAAAGGTAAAACAGCCTCCAATCACATACCAAAGGTCATACTGATAAACAGAAAAACTGAGGTTTATCAACTTCCTCAACAAAGCAACTTTGGATATCATTGGTCCTTAAAAAGTATACACCAAAACCACCTACGTTTTAAAAAACAGATTTCTGGGCCCACTGTTTCTGCTTTAGTAGGTGTAGGGCAGGACCTACCCTATACCTACCCTTCTAGTATATATTTCCATGTGATGAGAATTCTGACCTAGGAGCCACAAACCAGAGAACCAGTTCCAAAATGTCTTATGGCATTGTAATATCAAATGCTGGGTTAATAACTGGTATTAGAAACATAGTAAAAACTCAGTAAGACAGGAAAAAAATAATAGACTGGAAGGTTTGGTCATAAGCTAATATTCTACATTTAGTGTAAGTTTAGCAACCACCCCAGTAAAATTAGAATTTCTAATATATTTTATTGTAACTTCACTGTTATATTTGGGAACGACTTGTAATATGAATCAATTATTTATGAAAACTGTTTCTGTGCAATTATCATACCTGTTGCCAGCAGTCTTGGGATAGTGCTGAGGTGCACCCCTACTTCCTCCTCCGCCCGAAGAAGCACTGTTTGAAGAATAAGTCATTTTTTAGTATACCAATTATGTCTCATTTCAAAAGGGCTAAAGATTACTTTGTACTTTAAAAACTGCACCACTGATTTATGACTGAGGTTGAGTCTAGAACCCAATTACACTTATTTTTCAGATAATTAAAACTCTCAAGTGTAAGGACTGAAAACAAAGACAGAGACGGTATAAGAGTAGTGACTTGGTTTTGTCATTGGGTTTTACAAAAGCACCCCCAAAACAAATCTCCACATACCTGAAACGAGAAGCACCCCCTTCTGCAATCGCACTCTCCACTTTGGCGGCTTGACAACGAAGAATCTTCAAAAGAATAATATTAATGGATGGGGTGGGGAGGGGAGGGGATGGGAGAATTGAAAAACCTAGAACGAGAAAAAGCGCCAAAATTAGACACTGCTAACAAACAGGTTTTTAAACTTTCAATCACAATCTATCTCCTATGTTGGCACTGCAGTTTACTTAACTTCCACTGCATTGCAGAGCTCATAAAACCAAAATAGAATGCACTCAACAGACACAAACGGACAAAATCTTTTGTTAGCCACTTAGAAATTCCCAAAGATGGAACACTTGTTCAATGATGCCACGAACGGCTTTCCCAGAGAAATACAACATCCAAACTGCACCGAAGGCCCTTCATACGGCCTTTGGAATTGAACCGAGACGCTCACTATAAGCGCGGGCAGCAGCAGCGGCGGAGGCTGCCTCGGTGGAAAAATGTCTGCCGCCCTACTGGTGCGGCCTCGGCGCCGGCCGCCCGGCTCACCAGGCCTCAGCCGCGGCGGGCGGCTACCCGCACGGCCCTCTATCCCCCGCCCTCCCGTGGAGGCCCAGGACCCGCGCCCGCCCTGGCCCGGCCGCCGGAAGACCAGGGACGCAACATGGCAGCGAACCTCCGCCCCGTTTTCCCTTCCTGGGAACAAAAGAGCGGCGAGTCCTCCACACCCAGGCCCGAGTTAGGGGAAGTGCCGTCGACGGGCGCGCCTCGAGGCCGCGAGTCGCGGAGGCCGCCCCCACCGGCCCCGAGCCCAGCTCTTTGTTCTCGGGGCAGGAAGGCGGCCCCTCCCGCCCATAAATCCCCGAGGTGACAGCCGCCTCGCCACCGCCGCCGGGGCCCACAAAGGCGGCAAGCCCTCCTCGGCCTCCCCGGACGGGGCCCTGCACACCTCCGCCCCGCCGGAGGCCGGGCTCCGGGACTCCTGCGCCTCGCTGGTCCCGCGCCAACGG